AGAAATCCTGTGGGGAACAGGAACCACCCCCCAGAACCCCTCAGTCTATCCTGAGGGGTCTCCACACACCCAACCGGGGTCTTGGGACCCCAGGGAGGGTGGGAGCGGCACTGGGTTCCTCCAGCTCTGCAGGTGGTGAGTTTGGGGGAGCTCAGGCAGGGAGGGCTCCCTTTGGGGGGTCCCCAAGTGATGCCACCACCTGGTACCGGGTTCATCCCCAAGCGATGCCACCACCACCACTGTCCTCACCGTCCGAATCAGCCGTAAGGACACCAGCTCCTTGCTGTAGCCGCCCCACTGCTTCCAGTCCCGGTACTGCCCTTCCTCCAGCAGGTACTGGTGGCCACGGAAGCCCTCCTTCTCGTAGCCCACCCAGCTGTGACACAGCAGACGCAGGCAGTGAGGCCTCCAGACATTTTCCATGTGCTGGGACATGGGGACACCAAGCCACCCTCTCCCCCACGGCCACCCCACAGCCCTGGGCAGCTCCTCCCAGCCCTTTCCTGGAGGTGACCATCATCTTCCCAGCCCCGATGCCACTCACCAGCCACCCAGGACGTGCAGGGAGCCCATGGTGGCCAGCGCCAGCCCGGGCAGGCACATCAGGTTGTAGATGTCTCTGCTGATGGCGAAGCTGCGGCCCTGGAAACCTGCAGCCTCATAGATCCGCACCTGGGGACACAGCGAGGTGAGCGCGGCCCCACAGATGTCCCAGTCTTGTGGCATCCCCAGTGCCAGCCCAGCGCTCACCTGCGGCTCCCCGGGCCTCTCCACAACGGGGCAGCCCTGCAAGGAGAAGGAGGATGTGGTGACAGGAGGGGACAGTGTGGGGACATCTGATTCCCCCCTTTAAAGCCTGAGCTGGTTTGGGGGTAATTTTCACCCAAGAATGAGCTCATTTGGACTCTGTTCTATTCCTTTCCTTGCCCACTAACCCACAGGAGCACTCTCCAGAGCCACGCATGGCACATTTCCACACCAGCTCTCTGATAGGGACCAGGAGATGCCCTCGCCTGTTGTGCCCAGGGCTGGATACGGCCCTGGCCCCCCAGTAACCATGATCCTGGCACTCACCAGCCTGATGGGGTGCATGGAGCAGATGGATGGGTCCTTTGCTCCCCAAGCCTTCAAATTGGGGTACCCGCCCGGCTCCAAAACATAGGGGTCATCATCGAAGAACGGCTTGGAGTACACCAGCCACCTGGGGAAGGGGGAAGAGCATCATGGCCCGGCCCCAGCCCACACCAGAGCCCCCCTGGCATCCCCCCTAACCCCATGGCCTCACTCACAGGCCCGAGTGGACGATGATGGAGGCAGCAGCGAGCGCCTGGCCCTGGGTGCGGGTGTCCTCAGCCGAGTCGGTGAACGTCAGGCGGGCGCCTTCGCCATTCTCCTCCTCAAACAGGCTGATCTCGGGAGTGCGGTAATCCTGGCGTGGGGCGGAGCAGCGTTATTGGGGTCTGGCACCCCCAGTTTGGTGGGTGCTGGGAGATGGGGGGGTCCCCGCACTCACCCGCACCACCCGCTTGAAGG